AGCAGTGCCCCCAGCCACCTCAATACTTAACTGAGCCCCATTGAGATCCAGCGATGTACACTGGAATCTCAGCTTTCTCGGGTCTTTGCCTCCTCATTGGCTGACACAGCAAGCGGGAGCCATTGGCTCTCACAGCTGTCAACCACAGCCAGTCAGCCAAGGAGAAGAGAGAGGGGGTGGGGGAACAAGCCGCGGCTCTGTGTGCTGAATGGACAACCAATAGAAAAAGAGGCCAGGAGAACCTGGGGACCCAAGAAGGGAAAAATCCAGGTTGTTGTTGTGTGAAAAACCACTACACAGAGCAGGTAAGTGTAGACATGTTTTTGTTTGTAAAAAAAATAAACAACCTTTAGTATTGCTTTAAGGAATCCTCCAGGGCATCTAAAATCAAGAAGCTCAAGGCTCTTGAAAAATTGTACTGTAGCTGCCAAATGGCAGGATCTTCCGTATCAGATTTTCTGGAACAAAGCATCTGCTTTACAGCCGGGTGCCCACTGTGCATGCACTTTTATGAATGGTCCCGTAGTCTTCTGGGACCAGTCACATGTCCCAGAAGACTACAGGGTAGGAGTGGGGGAGGTTAACTTTCAACTTCCGATAGCCTTAGGTACCCCAAAAGGGGGAAGTTCCGCTTTAATCCTTCCTTTGACCCCCCCCCCCCCTCCCGTTAAGGATTGGCACCTCTAAGGAGTGGGTACCTGAATTTGACAGGTACCCGCTCCCTAGAGGTGCCAATCCTTAATAGGGAGTGGGGGTCAAAGGATTAAAGCAGAACTTCCCCTTTTGGGTGGAGCTCTATTAGAACTTGGCGTACTCCTACAGCAGCCACCACAGGCTGTAGAGCTGCTCCCACCAGAAAGAACGAAGCTTTAAAGAGGGCTTCCAACATCTGATATTCCTCCTGAGCTGCCAGGGTCCTATTCAAATAGGAAATAGCTGAAGTCAACAGCCAAAAAAAAATTTACTTCTAAAATTCTTTCTCCACGGGGTGCTGGTGAGCAAAATCACTCTGAGCAAAATCACTCTTGTCCAGGTACTAAATTGGTGTCCCAATCTATTTGTCGCTCATGACAAATCTACTTGTCCTGATAAAAAAACATGAATTTTAACCAAAACTGTATTTAAATCTGCTTTAAGTAATGTCTGGGGCTTTTAAAAACAAAAGGGGTTTTATGGCGACTTAACAGTTTAATACTGTTAACATTGCGCTGTTCATCTCCTCCTCCCCTCCCTGCCTGTCTGTCTCCAGCATGACACTGGGTGACTAGCAGGGAGGGGAGAGACCTTCCAGTGTAGTGAGCACAGATTGGCTGCTCATCAGGAAAGGGGAGTGTCAGACTTATCCTTTATCCCTTTCACTGCCAGAGCTGTTTTTGCGTTTTAGGCCTGAAGATGAAAATCGTTTTAGGCCTGAAGATGAAACAAACCCCCTAAACATTATATATTTTTCTGAAATCAGAGGTCTAGGAAACACAAAATTTCAGTAAAAAATACACAAGTTAATTTGAGGGTACAAAAAGCAATAAATTATCCAATTTTGTGTAAAATATAAAAGATGATTTTTGCATCAAGTAAAACAGGTATCCAACATATCAAACCTTAAACATGATTGTGCTTGTGAAATGGCAACAAACTTTAGTACCCTATATTTTCTGTATGCAACACTTTTAAAGCCCCTTATAGGGCATCAGTATAGTATATGGAGGAGGTCTGGTGGTAGAATTATTGCTCTCACTCAGGCATGCACGGCGATATGTAACGTGTATCACAACCCACGTTTTCATAAGTAGGTGCCCGAGTATGTGATTTTACGTTTGTACGAGCGTACATACATGGGAGTGGGGGGGGGGGGGGGGGGCCTTGAAAAATTTGGATGTGTTATATGCTTGGGTGTAACTTCCTTTATTTTTTTAAATGACATACAGGACAAAGTCCCATAGTGATGATTTTTGGTGACAGGCTCTCCTTTTTGAGACATGCAGGGTCTAAAAGACCCTGCATGTCTCCCCTGTACTACACTGAATATAATGTGGGTGCACATCGCACCGCATTACATTCTTTCCCAGCCTCAATGACCGTGAATCTGTCGAACAGGGACCCGGAAGTGACGTCACTTCACTTCCGGATCAGAAGGATGTGTCAGCTTCTCCTCCTCCATCCCCTATACCACATACCATGGCACTCACCGAACCAGTCTCGGGCCCGAGGATGGGCAAGTGGAGCTCGGGACATATAGAGGGGGAGAGCCTGACACTGTGGGCTGTGTGGAAGCACTCGGGCGGCAGCACTGCTGCCCAAATGCTTCCACCTGACAGGTGAGCCCTGCTGCTTGCCCACCGCAGCAGGGATAAGGGCAAGGAAAAAAAAAAAAAAACCTGCCCAGCGCCCAGAACTTCATGTCCCAGGCATCGGGCGATAGGAATTGGACATCCCTGTGAAACCATAACCCATGTAGTAATTACTACATACAATTACTTTATTTTAAAAAAAAAGAAAAAAAAAAAATGTTTACTGTAACTGCTTATAAAGTGTTAGCTGGAGTTCAGATACAATTTCTTAGTCGAGTCTATCTAAATCTGCTAGCCTAACAAGAACCTCCCCCCAGACTGAAAATGCTGCAAGTGTCTGGTTTACAATCTCATCCTGAATGCTAACACCTTAAGACAGAAAGTGTTACTGGCTGGATTACTAGGTGAAATAAAGGAAAAAAAAAAAAAAAAAAAAAAACCAAAGCAGACACCACATCGAAGGATTGGTAAACTGCACTATATTACATTTTTGTTTTGGGATTTAATACCACATGATGCTTGACTGAATATTTATTTCTGTTGCTTCAACAAGGATTATATTTTCCTTTAAACATTTCAACCTGGGTACTATAATTCTATTATTTTAGTAAAGCTCCAATAAGAGTGAGAAACACTGGAAGACTTGATAGAGGCAGCAAAAGAAAAAAAGGTTATCTGCCAAAACATTTGCATTCTCTGGAATGAAGCTCTGCAAAAAAAAAAAAAAAATGGCTTCACTGGTCAAGCAGAGAGGCTTAGCGTCTGACTCAATGTTATGAACTCACAGGCTGCCAAGTGGTTTTAGGTCTTTTAACAAGGGTTGGGGTAGAGATGACAAACTTAAGTCAGTGTCGATTCAAATGCAAGCATGCAGAGCATAGAGGGCTTTGTGCACATCAGTTCGGAAATTTTGGATGGATGTTTAATAGACTGCCTTCCCTACTTGAGGCAAAGTGTAAGAATTGCATACTTTACAACTCATTATTACATCATGATTCAATTTGAATTAATATTCAAAAAGCAAATGAAGGGCAAACAAATGAATACGTTGATTATAAAACTTAGTGACAATAATTATCCCCATATAAAACATAGCACAAACAACATGTTGTATAATTATAGCATACATTTTTTTTTATCTATTTTTGGACTTCTAAGTTAAAATCATACTTTAGTTTGTCCTCTTTTATTAAAAAAAAAAAAAAAAAAAAAAAATCATCTTCAGTTAACATTTAATAATGCTGACCATACAAAGTCAGATGTATGGATTCATCTATAAAACAAACGTAATCAATATGCATTCTCCGTTATTAACCGCAGAGTTATGTACACCATGGCCTGCATTTTACAACCCATTCATAAAACGCAGGATGTGATGTGGAGTCTGAGAGTTCTCCCTGTTTAACACAGCAGAGAGGGATAGTGGCTTTAAAGACAGCAACTAGTTATGTGACTGACATTTCAAGTGACCGAGACATCTTCCCAGCTTCCCCATCCATTTTTATAGCGCTCAGCCAACTTCATACTTCAAAAGCCAGCAGAGCACAATTCACATCAGTAAAAGCATACAACTTTATAGACACATTTATGATTTCCTTTATAAACAGACCCTACAGTTTCAGCCCAGGTTCACATATGTGCAGGTCGGTTTTGATAGAGCGATTTCAGCCCTGTCCGGTGCGACTTTGTTCAGTGGTTTAGGTGCGTTTCCAATACAAATTCTTAAAGTGTATGACATTGGAAATTGCACCAGAACCGGGCTGAATGTGAACCTGCCCCTTTTGGAAATCGTGCTGTGGCCCACACACACACACACACACACACACACACACGATTGTGGTCTGCAGGATCTAACTTCAAACAGCAGACATTACAGGTCATGCCTGCTCTTGAATGCTGAGGTCTGGTTACAGTCTCTCTTGGCATTATGGTCATAGTGATCGATCTGGATAGGGCCCTCCTCTGCCCAGACAGGGGTTTTAGGTACAGGCCAAGAGATTCCCCAAAGAACATATTTGCAGAGAGACTCAGGAAAGCATCCATCACCTTCAAACACTAGCACAAAACTGAGGCTGTTGACCTGGGAGGGATTAGGCCTGAGTAAGGGATTCCAGCCATTCTTTCTGGGCAGTGTCCATGCCCCTAAAGGTTCCACCATAACCCATGTAGTAATTAGTCATAACTGACCATTTTAGAAATTGTGCTGCGACTGGCATACACAAACGTGTTCTGGCTAAAAAGAAGAGGCTGCAGGTTCACGCCACGTCAGTTCAAAATGCTTTCAATTCAAATATATGTGAACCAGGGCTCAGACAAAATCTGAAAGATCAAAACTATTTACAAACAGCTGTGCAGCTTCACCTGAGGGGGTAACATTTAACTAGATTGTATAGGCCTTTGCACTGTAAAAATGTGATAAATATTATTCTACAACAAAGTCGGATTGTGAATCTGGGCTCATAAACACAATAACCAACTCAGAAGAGCCCGAAAAACCAAATACAAATTAAAGAGATCAAGCTCTACAGCCAAGGTGTTACAAACTCAAGCGAGTATTTAAGAAGGGCTCAAGTCCTGAAAAAAGTTCAGCAGTTTGTGAGAATACCTCAAGCATATTGTGCAACAGTACATACATTTCTACATATTACCAGAAAATGTATCCAAGTACTTTTGGGAGGGGAAAAAAAAAAACCCAACAAACTAAAAACTTACTGGTGCAGACTGAGCTTTAAAAACTGGCACAGCTGGGAGCTCATCAGACTCTGGCTGGTTCCAGTGTCTTGCATTATAGACAGCTTTTGTTGGAGACTGAAAGAAAAAAAAAAAAAAAAAATTAAAGATCTAAATTACCAACAATTTAATTTACTCATATAACTGGTTTAAAATTACCAATATAAAACAATTTCATAATTAAGGACTAGCATATTTTTTTTTTATTAGTCAATTGAAAAACAAATCCTGGGATCTTAAAAAAGCCTACTCAAATGGAAAAGTGAAAGAAGCAGGTCTTTCTCTGCTATGAGAAAAGCTTGGCAAAAACCGTACTACTCAAGCAAATACTGCCACCAAAGTTTCACCACCGAGATCCCAGGACTGAGTCTTTGTGAGCATTCAGGCCACCCCATCCTTCCAACACTTTGAGAGCAAAACGTACAGTGGAAGTTCACCTGAAAAAGGGAAATTCCACTTATCTTCCTCCACATCTCCTCCTCTCTCGCTATTGTAAAAAAAAAAAAAAAAAAAAAAAATATATATGTTCTCTCTTTCTGGGAGCAGTCACCTATTTCTGTAAGGTACCCTATCCCATTCTTCTAACCTCTGCTCTGCAGAGCGGAAGTTCAGATGACCCCCCCCCCCCCTAACCTCCTGGAGCACATCACATGTCCTAGGACAGTGGTCTCCAAACTGTGGCCCTTTGCTTGCCTCTAACCGGCCCTCAGGTATTTTTCCTTCGACCTGACACAAACAAGGAAGCACCATTTCTTACACTGGCACCAACAGTGGGGAACCATTCCTTTCACTGACACTAACAATGGGGCATTTTTCCTTCCACGGACACAAATGATGAGGCACAATTCATCCCACTGATATAAACAATTAGGCACTATTCCCACAACGAATACCAATTATGGGGAACAATACTCCCTCTGATACCAATGATGGGGCACTATTCATTCCACTGACATCAATGATGGGGCACTATTCCTCCAACCAACAACAATTAAGGGGCACTATTCCTCCAACCAACAGCAATTAAGGGGCACTATTTCTCCAACTAATACCAGTCATGGGGCACGATTTCTTTAACTAATACCGGTCATGGGGCACTATTTCTCCAACCAATACCAGTGATAGGGCACTATTTTCTCCAACTAATACCAGTCATGGGGCACTATTTCTCCAACTAATACCAGTGATAGGGCACTATTTCTCCAACTAATACCAAATGATTGGACACTATTCCTCCTTCCACTGACTACAAGCACCGTTTTGTTTACTCCCACTTTCTCTGGGACATTTTCTACTCCCACTGGCCACTCTGCCCCCCTAAAGTCTTAAGAACAGTAAGCTGGCCCTTTGTTTAGAAAGTTTGGAGATCCCATCCTAGGAGATTGCATTGCAGGACCATTGAGAAAGCACAGCTCATCTTGCAGATGTGCATTGGGAAGCCAGCTGTGAAACGCCAGGCAGCCACAACCAGCTTGCTACAAGAAAGCTTGCAGCACTGGGTAAGAAACAGCCTGGGTGGTGACAGTGTCGGATCCCTGGGCTAGTAAGTGTCTGTATATTAAAAGTCAGAGGCTGCAGAATTTTTTTTTTTTTTTTTTTTTATACTTGACCAAAGCTCCTCTAAGAACAAAGTTGGAGGGACCAACTTAAAGTGGAACTTTACCCATAACAATTTGTACATTCACGTTAATATTTATGCAACCAAAATTAGCGTGTGCTGTAAATTTTCTCCAACATTATTACAATTTCTTCATACCCTGTTACAATTTTGACAGATTCTATATCAGATAGAATTCTAACACTGTATGGCCTTGTCAGCTCAAGAAAAGAATAAAATGAAAAATCTAAAAAGATTCCTCCATCCACAAATAAGGTCATAGGCGGACATATCCCCCCCTGCTGGGCTATTGCAGTTGAATGTCCCCAAGGAATTCCCTTGCTTTGCAGGGATTTCCTGTCACTTCCTGATGGGCTATGGGACCGGAAATGAAGAGGAATCTCTGAAACCCCACGAACAACATCCTTTGTGAAAACATGGACCATGACCGGTCCCACTTTATGGAGAGACCTATTAGACCCCAAATCTCTCCTCTGGCCTCCAATGCCTTACAACCCGAGGACGTCATATGACATCCTACAAGCAGAAACTGGTTAAATACTCTGTCACCCATATTCAGCTCAGAGTAAGCCCACCAACGTTGGGCATTTACATGAATTGCTAGAGCATATGAGTGATGATCTCCCCCTCAGTTGGGGCTTACAATCTACTTCCTACTACTACACCCACCACCACAAACTGTTAATATTCCCTAAAAAAGTGAAAACTGGCTCTTTACAAAAAAAATAAAGACAGGTTAATCTCTATGAAGATTACAATAATAATAAAAAAAAAATTCAGTACAGACAGCATGCCTAAATACAGTTAACAAGAACAGAAGGAGAGATATTTTACCCGTTTAGGTCCACTGAATATCTTTCGAGCTCCATCTCTGCTTTTATCTCCTGGTCTACTTGCAGGCTTTTTGAAGATTTCAGGTAGAGCATACAGATCGTCTCCAGACTCTAAAGTTTTTCAAAACATAAACAAAGCTCACAATACAATAAAAAAAAACTTGCACAGAAGGCACTAAAACATGGAACATCTATGTAATAGAGCCAAACTACAAGGCTCTAACAAATGGTGTGCACCAACAAAGCACAGATCATTTAGTCTAGGTTCATACTAACGCGGTGCAGGAAACGTCATGACTTGTGCGCGTTTCCTGCATTGCATTCCACCTGATCTGTGAAGGTTTCAATGTTAACACGCCAAACACAGGTTGCAAATGCAGTGCATTTGCCTGCACAGGATCACATGGTACAAAAACCACCATGTAATCCAGTTGCAATACAAAGAAAAAAAACATGCATGCACGTCTTTGGTGCAATGCAGTGCAATTTGAGCCCATTCAAAATGAATAAGCTCAAATCGCACCACACTGAATCGCATGTGAATTGCACAGGAATACAGTGCAATTCCTGTGCAATTCACATGTGATTCATAGTGTGAACTGAGGCTTTACCATACATTCAAAGATAGCGGCTTTGCAATTTTAGCCTTTTAAAAGTAAAATCCTGCTTTAGAAAAAAAAAAAAAAAAAAAAAAAAAAACACTGGGTGCCTGTTATTAGTTTAAATTAGGACAAAAAAAACTTGATTGCACTCTTCTGGTACTGAACTTCACCACTTTGACTTCTGGTATAAGTTCTATTAACCCATTCATCCTTATGATCAATGAAATGCTATAGGTGTACAAAGACATAGCATGTGGCAAATAGCCACAAGTCAGGCAAATTAAGTCCTTAACCACTTCCAGTCCGGACACTTTTACCCCCTTCCTGTCCAGGGCAATTTTCAGCTTTCAGCGCTATCACACTCTGAATGACAATTGTGCGGTCATGCAACACTGTACTCATATGAATTTTTTACCATTTTTTTGAAACAGATAAAGCTTTATTTGGTGGTATTTATTCACCGCTGGGATTTTAATTTTTTTTTGCTATGTAAATGAAAAAGTCCAGAAATTTTGAAAAAAAAAGTGTTTTTCTTATAAAATTTTGCAAATAATCTTTCATCATAAATCTTTTTCATTTTTAATTTTTTTTTTTTTTACATACTGTCACCCTAGCAGCAGTGTCACCATGGTGACACTGTACTACTTGTGGGGGGTGATGAAGGTTTTTTTTTTTTTTTTTTTTACACTGATTGCTTTTACACCCATATAGGATGTAAAAGCAATCATTTCTCTTTCTCTCTGTCTGCATTCTTGCAGCCATTGAGAACTACTGAGTGAGCTGTGATTTGTCACAGTTGTCACATGGTACAAGGCTGTTGTGAATAGCCTTGTACCATGTGACCTCTGTGATCATTCACAGATTTCACACGTAGTAAGCAATGATGTCACAAGTGACATCTTGCTTACTACTTTGCATGTGATCACTGATCACATGACCGGGACCTCGTACAGAGGTCCCGTCCGACGATCGGTGTTTCACTGTGTCCAAAGGACACAGCGGGCACTGAATCGCGGTGCTGCACGTTCCCAGGGAGCGCGCACAGCTAAAAATGGCAGTTGCCGTTTATGAGCGGCAACCCGCCCCTGGAGTGCCACCGTCCTGCCGTTTATAAGCAGCAGGTGGACGGCAAGTGGTTAAGATAAGCGAACCCCAGATCAAAAGGGTCAACAAATGGTAAGACCGCTATTAAAGACTGAGTTTACTACCATGGCATTAACATGAGGAAAAAAAATATATATCAATATTTTATGAAAAATTCAGTATTTGTGGTCTTTTGCACCCAAAATTAAGCATTACCTAATGTATGAGGCAAAAAACGCACTAAAGCTGGCCATTCATTCATTCTTTTTTTTTTTTCATTAAACCGGCAGGTTGGGAAAAAATGAAAAATTTGATACAAGATGAATGGGGGAATCACTACAGCTGTGCTACCGTGTACCAACAGCAGAGACTTCTCTGCCATCAGTACACAGTGTTGCCAGGTATAGCTGCTGCCACTGATCACCACGGGAAAAAACCAGACAGGCCAGCTGTACACAAGTCGATCAGCAGATCGGCTTGTGTACAACCAGCCTGTCCATACATGGATTGAAACTCGACAGTCCCTGCTGAACAGGATGGTCTACATCTGGGTTGCTGTGTACTCCTTCTGGACATACTTGCATTATATTTTGCATCCTACTCCCATACTCTAACTTTGTCACAGGCACGCAACCAACCACCTGACGAAAGCAGAAATGTCTATGTAATGTAAATGTCACAATTCCTCAGACAACTAATGGTCCTAATACAGCCATCTTCATCCAGGGCTAACACCATGCTCCTTCAACAGCTCCTCTGTATCTACCACAGTTGGATACAGATATATGCCTGCTTTAGAAGAGTAAGACACAGAAGGGAATATAGAATCACTGTTAAGGAGGTGGTGAAAGATTTTTCTTCCCAACACTCGTCCAACTGAAGCAGGAGCTTCACAAGTTTGCTAATGTGGGCACGTTCACTACTGCCGTGCAAAAATGCCTTGGCATTGTAGTTCTTGATTGTCCTCTGCCTCACCAAGCCCTCTTGGCTACAGAGATAAAAAAAAAAAAAAAAAACACAGAACATTCTCTGTTCTTTAACAAATAGAATGGGCAATCTATGCTCAACTGCAGTCAGTGGAAAGAGCGTTCACAAGAAGTGGGCTGTTCCTATAGATGTTCCTGCAGTCTCAGTCTTAAAATTCTCACAGTACCAACTGAAGATGATACTTCATTCAAGGATTCTGCAAATCCAAAAATTTTAGATGCTCTCAAAGGCTCTTCAGTTTTGCAGGTCCAGCCTCTCAAACAGTTCTTGCTGCAATTTCAGTATATCAAACTGCAGCCAACTGAATAGGGCAATGATCAAGAGAATCCTGTATCCCAGCACCATGCTTTACTGAAGCAGTCACAGCAACTACCTTCTGCTCTTCTCCCGTGTGGATGCCCTAAAACATGCCATGAGAAATTTCCATTCAACTGCTTCATCCCCTTAGACAAAATCTCCTGCAAAGTACTCTTTGGTTGTCATCATTTCCATTAAAACATGACTGAGTTGGCAGCGCTTTTAAAAAGCCATTCCTCATTCTAATAATGACAAGGCGGTCTTATGCCCAAGACTGTCTTTTCTTCAGTTTATAGTAGTATCAGTCTATAACTTTAATGACATAGATCAACCATCCAAAAGGAAAACTCTCAATTTTCTGGACATAACATTATTAGTGTGCACCTCAAAGCTATAACTTCAATCAGATGGATTCCCTATTTGTCCTGTCCTCAGGACCTCGCAAACGATACCCCGCTTCCAAGTCGCTTAATAGAGAAAAAATCTGATGGCTAAAATATACATGCTTAAAAGACAAATCTGCTCCTGCACTTTTAGGTGCACTTTACACCAGATAAGTGTTTCCTGGGCTTTCCAGCACCAGGCCTCTGTAGTATAGCTTTTATTATATTTTGCAGTTTGTGTGTTGTGCACTAGGTCCAGCTAGGTTACCTGTATTTCTTGGTATACCACGTCTGGAGGGCTGCTGGGGATGCTAAAAACAGAGTAACTCTGACTTGCCTGCCAATTCTATATCACGTGCAACTCCAGTGTACAATTTCAACAATGCCAAGATGAATGCACTTCCACGAATGGACAGGAGTGACCTCATCTGGGCCTACCCAATGAAAAATGGCCAGAGATCAATATCCAGAAGCAAACCATCCAAAGATGACAGCGACTGACAGGGAGCTCTAGGACACCGCAGTGCTGAATAGAATGCGAGAAAAGCTCTGCTTTAAAGGATAAGTTCACCTTTAGGATCACGCCCATGTTTAGGGTTCAACATGTAACATGCTCCTAAGCATCCGCCTCCTTCTGCCGGAGCACCCCTCTCTGTGACAGCAGGCAGGGGATCCTCTACCCGCAGTCACATTTTGAAAATGGCACAGCTGTGTGGGGCTCCGGCCACATCATGCATTCACAGGAATCTGAATTAATAATCTACAAGTACTGTCTGCCACCACAGCAGATGAACTTGTAGTATTAACCATTTGCCTACCAGGCACTTTTACCCCCTTCCTGCCCAGGCCAATTTTCAGTGCTGTCACACTTTGAATGACAATTGCGCGGTCATGCACCACCATACCCAAACAAAATTTTTATAATTATTTTTGGGACAGAGCTTTCTTTTGGTGATATTTAATCACCACTGGGTTTTTTTATATCTTTTGCTAAACTACAAATATAGAAGTGAAGCCTGCGCAGTGAGCTGTGGTTAATGTGGAAATAAACTGGCTGCTGCTAGCAATACCACACTAGGACTAAATATTTGAATGTTGTTATTGGTAGATTGGAACTATAAAATTTGCATACAAGTGCACTGTGTTTATGCAGATTTATAGTTTGAGCTTTTGAAGGCATTGATTTATATTGGGAGAATTGATGTTCATGATTGGTGCACTAATCAAATAATATTTCACTTATGAAAAACAATTGACATTATTAGTCTAAGCACGTAGGATATAGAACTATTCACCCTATTATAAAGTTGTATCAAGATTCTGAGGAGGGGCACTTTTAAGTTTATATGATATAGAGCACGGGTGTCAAACTGGTGGCTCTCCAGCTGTTTCCAAACTACAAGTCCCATGAAGCATTGCAAGTCTGACAGTTACAAGCATGACTCCAAAAAGCAGAGGCATGATGGGACTTGTAGTTTCCCAACAGCTGGAGGGACACCAGTTTGACACCTCTGATATAGAGGTTCATGTTTATGTGTGGGCCACTACCACGAACGTAGTGTGACACATTCACTCACTAGTGGCAGCGCAGAATTCATTTGTTTTGTAAACTACAAATAACTGAACATTTTGATAAAAAAAAAAAAAAAATTAGTTTCAGTTATAAAATGTTGTAAATAAGTAATTTTTCTCCTTCACTGATGTGTGCTAATGAGGCTGCACTGATGGGCATCACTGGTGGGCAGTGAAAGGCAGCACTGATGGGACTACACTGACAATCAGGGCACTGATGATCAGTGCCCTGATGATCTGTGTAGACGTCCCCTCTGAGGAATGCCGCTTACCGGATCTCCTCAGGCTGTCAGCGTGAGGAGGAGACTGCCGATAACCGGCATTTCCTATTTACCTGCGATCAGCTGTGATTGGACACAGCTGATCACATGATATAGCCTGTGTCATCGGCTCTTCACTGCGATTGGTGATCCGCTTTGTCCCAGGGAACAGGGTAACACCAATCAACGCGCGCCCCCGGGGGTGCACATGCACCGCTAGAGTGAGAGAGGACGTCATATGATGCCCTCATTTCCTTATATGGCGGTTGGAAGGCGGTTAATGACCTGCGATATGATAATGACCTTATGTGATCTCTCAATTCTCAGACTTAGAGGTGGTGGGGAACAGCTGCAGCATCACAGCAATGTGTGTTGCACAAGTATGTTTATTTTTTCAATTCCCATACTTCTCCCTTAGAGTTCATTTACTGTTAAGAGAAGTATGGCCACATCTCTTTTTTGCAGTACTTCTTTTATCTCTGTGACAGCTAAGCCTGTTGCCAGTTGACGTTACAGAGCCAGTCCATGGTCTACAAGGATCCCGACTTTAAGGTCAGGATCCGCAAAGCTTTGTTAAAGCTTTAAAGTACCCTTAAGCTCAAACTGGTATATGTTGAAACACAGATCCTAATGGCAGTGCTGACTGCCACTTTAAAAACAAGCTGCTATCATGTATCAGCATTACTAGAAGCTTGTTGAAAGCCTGCCATAGCCTGCTTAACGTGACAACCAACACTCCCATTAAGATCGATGTACAATATTTTCAAACAGGAGCTGAGAGACACTTTAACAGCTTAGAGAAAGCGGCTTAAAGCTAGCCAATAGCTTTGGAAATGGTCTGAAAGTTTCTATTCTAAAGCTTGCTATTCACACTACTTTTACAAGCTGAAGCCTGTTTGAAACAGGCCTAAGGGTGCAGGCCTTAGAGATAAGTTGCCTGTACCACCTGGCAATGGCGGATTGGGAAACAGGAGGATATTTACAAGAGCCCACAGGAAGGGCAAAGAGACTCAATCTTGAAAATAGAGATTGTGCCTGCCAGGCAGACCCTGAAAGTCCTGAGCACATTCAGGCAATGTAGGGCAACTTCCTTGCCAGGAAGGAAGGAAGAAATGTCCTCATTAAGATGGATAGACTACTTTGAAAAGGAAAAAAAGAAAAAAAATCCTGCCATCCCAGAAATACACCTAAGAGGTGTAATGGATACCAAAAAGACAACATTACAAGTCATGTTCTCCAAAGGAATATCATTAATTGGTTCAAAGAGAGGTATCTGAAGTACAGAGAGCACCAGGTTGAGATCCCAAGGCGACACAGGAGGTTGAACTGGAGGATAAATATGAGCAACTCCCTAAAGAAACATCTTGTTAAGGGGTTGCAAGGCAAGAGGCTTCTAAAATAGAATGGTTAAAACATAAATATATCCCATCAAGGTACTCTGGGCCAGATGGTGAAGACCAGACTGAAGAAAGGCCAAAATATGAATGATAGAGTACTTCTTGGGACTCCACTAACAGTCATGCCCTTAAAGCCAGTCACTGAGAAGTAGGATGGAATAGGTGGCCATGGGCCAGAAAGTCGGGTCAGTTTGGATGAGGGAAAGGCAAATTTACCAGAAGTTAAAAGTATGTCTGTGTACCACATCCTTCTAAGCCAATTTAATGTGACAAGAATCACCAGAACCCTTTCCTCTATCTTACATGGCCACAGAGGGAGGATCTTCATTGGAGAAAAGGCATAAACCTTCATATTCGTTCTAGTGATTCCTTGAACTGCAGACAGGCTAGTGGATGCCTGGTCTTTACTACAATTTTGTTCAGCTTGAACCTGGAGGTCAAGATAGCCACACATCTGGTGTTTCAAACTTTGCACCCAGAGATTTTTCAAGATTTCTGTCAAAGACCAATCCTCTGACCAATTGTTCGACTGTATCCTGACTGGCTGACCTTGCAGAAAGCAGGTCCAGTGTTGTAGAGATAATCAGATGGCTTTCAGATCCAGGATGGGAAGTTTCAACTCCTGAGGAGACGAGGTCACCTGTACAGTTAAGAACTGCAGACGTCCCTGACCCATTCTCCTCCTGTGCTGTACAGGGTACTCACTACAACCTTATGGAGACATGAAGGGAGAGTAGGAGGAAATAACAATGGTGTCCACACACACTCCTAGTGTAGCCGGGGTCTTATTCCCCCATCCATTGACTTCCAGACATTTTCTGAAGAGATCTGCATTGCAGTCAGAGATTTATGTACTCTGACTGAGGAAGCCCAAAATTACTGCTGCACCGCCTCATGCAGGTGCAGCATGCCTAAGCCACCAGGGATCCCAGATACAAATAGGGGATGACTGGGGAGAAAGAAAAAGAAAAAAAATCCATACGGAGGAGCCTAGACAAACAATCTCACGTAAAGAGGAATAAATGAACAAGTAAATGCTATGGGTGCTAGGGAGAATGAGGCACCAATTGCATTTACTCACGACCCTGCAGATCACATACTTGTTCAAGTCCATCAGGTTCAAGTCCATCACATACTTGTTAAAAGGTCCATCACCTAAAGACACTAGCAAAACACTGAAGTGTTATGAAGAAGACAGGATTATATGGGTGCACTCCAAGGGCAGCTCAAACAACTTTTTTGCCAGTGCCCAATCACCTGAAGGTAGCCTGCATATAACTCACGAACTAGAAATAAGTTCTGTGTGTATTGTACCACACAATTAAGATAATAGCTATTAGGACTCAACAACTCAATAAAACTATACAGACCCTCTGAAGGGCTATAAATTATATTGTTAACTGCAGACTGTACACGCACAGATGATTGAGCAGGAAGATCCAGAAAACACAGGTAAAGAGTGAGCCCACCACCTAGTAAAGGCTTATTGCAGTAATAACCAGTGATTCACTTACCTTGGTTTTTGCTTGGGTCTGTACTGCTGCTTGTTTGAATTGTGGGCTTTTTGTCTGTAAAATGTGGTGTAAAATTTGCATTTTGCTTTCAATATATATTCAATAAAATACTTCACCAGATTTTACAATTTTTGTGCATAACCCCACCCAAAATAAAAATCAAACCACTAAATAAAAAACAATTCTTACCAATATTATTGGAAGAGTCAATATTCTGTATATTTTTAACTCCTGAGCTTGGCATATCAGACACTAAGGTGACATCGGCACTCATTGCTTTCTTCTTTAACTTCCTTTCTTTTTGATGCCAACCATTATCATCTTCTTCATCATCACTTTCACTCAAGTCATCAAAGCCAAAATATTTAATTCTATAGCTAGACTGCCCAAGTGGCTTAGAACCTCCTTCCTCACTGCAGCCATCATCTTGGTCATCAAAACCAAAGAACTCCAATTTGGCATCTTTTTTGGACTTGATATTGCCAGGACGAAATCGTGTGGTTGTTTTTGCTGTTGCAAGATCAGCTTTCTTTCTAAGACGCCCTGCTTCCCCTAAATCTGTTGTAGGGCTTGCAGTGAACTCATCTATACCTCTTTCCATGCTATCCTGGATGGTAACATTACATACTGAGAGACAAGACGGATGCAGAACTGTATAATCTCTAGTCCGTCCAGTGGTTTTGGTCCCACTGCTTCTATTCACAGTGCTTGTTCTTTCTGTGGCATTGTTAGATTTGGCCATTGAAAAGCTTGAGCCATCTAAAAGTCTGTCGAAACTGGAGGAACCTTGTGAAGATCTTGCCTTGTTAGATCTACAATATGTCCTACAATTACCAAGTTTGACACCACCTTGAAGCACATCCTCGCTAGTTTGCTCTTCTGGATCATCCATTTGTTCTATAGCAAGCTGACAATCATCTTCAGCTTTGGGTTCAAAAGGACAACCTTCATCCTCAATGGAATCAAAATTGGGAACATATGAATTTTCTTGAGTCAATTCATCCCAATCATACAGCAATAGGTTTTGAGAGCTTCTGTTCTCCTCATTTTGTTCTGGAGAGTCTGTTCCCCAGTCATCTGTCTCTGTGGCAAAATCAGAGATGATTGACTCCACAGGTAGCTTGCTGCTGTTGCAGGATTTAGTAGAAAGGCCTGAAGGTAACATGCTTGTAGATTTTTTGCTGTCATTATCAGACTTCTTTGGAAAATAACTATTTTTGTCTTCTGTAAAACTATGCAGATTGCCTAAAACAAGGAAAAACACACATATGAGATTAAAAATAAAAATTAAATCGTGTTTATTTTCCTTAAGGTAGAACTATGGGTAAAGCTTTCTTCCGCCCATTTTGGATAAAGTAACGGAGGGTTATAACCCGTAATTTTTTTTTTCCATAGTGGAGATTTCTCTTCACTTCGTGTTCCATAGTCAAACAGGAAGTGAGAGGAAATCCCTGCAAATTAAAAGGAATTCCTTGGGGACAGGATTTTCCCATTACTTTTCTGGGGATAACCCAAAAGTTTGGATTTCTTTTACTTTCAATGAAAAGGGTAAAAACAAGACAAATAGAGGCGGTGAATCTTTTAACAGGGGCACAGACAGCTATAACTGACAAGTGTTCTAATCCCTCTGCACTCTATCCAAAAAGCTTTGCCTTTAGTTATACTTTAAAGCAGATGGAATAAAAACAAACAAAGAAAGTGCAATTAAAAATACTCCTTAGAAGCAGAACTTCACTCTCTAAATCAACATTGACTATTCTTAATTCTTATGCTGATTAGATAGATAGGATAGAATTAAAAAATATATATGAAAAACCATGAAATGCAACGCTGTACAATATTACAAAACCCGAATAAAGTGACAATAGTGACAAACTCAAAAGTGAAGCCGCTCAAATTAGCGCTAAAGTGTATGATATTGCATGAGTGTTCCGCAGAATAACAGCGAGTAAGTGAAATTTGCAAATAAAGCCTCTGTCCGGGCTGTCACAAAGGCTAAGTGAGAGGCCAGTGGTGGTGCCAGAGGCATCCCCGTAATGCTGTGAGAAGCCAGTGGTGTTCTTTTTGTCTCCATACCATGTTTTTCCTGGTGGAAGTTTTCCCTACCTGTGGAGGAGTGGGAAATATTACTACCGTATTTTCCGGCGTATAAGACGACTTTTTACCCCTTGAAAATCTTCTCAAAAGTCGGGGGTCGTCTTATACGCCGGTATACGGCATACTGACACTTTTTAGGGGGCGGCGCGGTGCCGCCGCCGCCGCCCCCCCCCCTTCCAACGGAAGGGACACTAAGTACAGGGGTGGGCAGGGGCGGTTTCTGGCTCCGGTCCCACGACGATCTGGTCCAGGAAGCGCGGCTGCTCCTTCGGTTCGGCTACTGGATGTTCGCGCGGCTGCTCGGCTCCGCCTCCTCACCGGTGATTGGCCCCCAGAACTGTAGCTCAGGAAAGGCACACAGGCGGCCAATCACCGGCAAGGGGGCGGAGCTGAGCGGCCCCGCGAAAATCGAGTGCAGGACCAGCAGGTAAGTGTTCAGTGTAGAGGTGCTGCTGCAACCACATATGCTGGGTGCAGCAGCACCATACTAGAACAGGGTCAGCAAGTGTAATTGGTGTCAGTGGGAGGAATAGTGCCCCATCATTGGTGTCACTGATACCAATGATGGGGCACTATTCCTCCCACTGACACCGATGATGGGGCACTATTCCTCCCACTGGTGTGCATTGGAAGAGGGGTAGTCTTATACGGCGAGTATAGCCCAAACACTACATACATTTTAGCAGGAAAAGTAGGGGGTCGTCCTATACGCCCAGTCGTCTTATACGCCGGAAAATACGGTATGTGCATTTAATATGCACGTCTGGTGAGTGCATTCAGAAAGCATTATCTAACAGGGAGTCACTTTCACCCATTCATCATGGAGATTCCTTGGATGTTTATTTGATATTCATTTGAATGATATTATCCATTTCTTTTATATTGCACTGTTCAATATTGTCACTTTATATGTAATTGCAAATATCACTTACTTGCTGATATTCTGCGGGATACTCATGCAATATTATTCACTTTAGCGCTAATTTGAGCGCCTTCACTTTGAGTTTGTCACTATTGTCACTTTATTTCCAGGATTTGGGTTTTGTAATATTGTACAGTGCTGCATTTCACGCTTTTTCATGCTATTGAGGATATAGGGGGGTTCAGCTCCCGTGAGGGCTGCGATTTCAAAAATAGTACAGGGGCTTTTTTCCTGCATGTATTGGAGGAAGTCTGCCCATTCACATGAATGAGCTCTCGTGCCCATGTAAACTGCGGCCCGCACAGGTGTGAACCTTGCCTAAATTGATCTCCAGTCAATGACTCTCTCCTGAAGTATGTTCAATGTGTTTTCTTTCATTTGTTGCAGTGTGCTTGTTGAGCATTTTTCACGTATCCTACATGAAGATACCTATGAAATATTCATTTGTGATAAACTGGACTAGAAATGCACAAAGAACAATTTTCTGTTCAAAATAGATGTCCTATCAGTTATTTATAAAAAATACTTTATGTTGGGGAAAAAAATTAACAAAAAAAAAAACCCAAACTAAATTTACTACAGTTCACCGATGTACAGCATTTATATTGATCAGTCGAACCACTTTTCTAGCTCATACCCCACTCTAGCGAACTACAAAATTCTTTACCAGTTTATTTTTTTTCAAAAGGAACATTTGTTCCTACATAAATCCAAAAGCAAATATTATAGTGCCACTTACCATTTTTTATATGTGGCTACTTTTTTTCTATTTTCACGTGGTGATCCAGCCAGTAAGTCAGATCTCCAGCAGAACGTATCAGTTACAGGGATGAGACAAACCATTTAAATCTAGCAGGGGTGCTTACAATGATCAGATTATGTAAAGCCTTTATCCCAAAAGGAAAAAACCTGTTTGCTGTGCCTGCTTATAAAGTGTGAGTTTGGCTTCAGTTAGTGTATTTAAATGTTACTACATCTAAACACTCCCCTCCGCCTGACTGACAAAGCTGCTATCCAATTGTGTGTCTCCCGTGCTTATTCACCCAGAATGGTAACACTAATACAAGGGGTATGTAACTGGTCAGATCAGCAGGTGAAAATAGAGCAGAAAAAAAGCCTAAAAAAAGAAAACCAATGCAGCCACCAGATCTAATGATTGGTAACCTGTAATATTACATTTTTGATTTAGGGTTTAATACCGCTTTAATAATAGTTTTTAAAATCAAAATAATCAAGTCTGGCCTCAATTTAAAAAAAAAAACACAAACAGTTTTTCTGAATTTCTTAAAGCTAAGCTCCCAGGAGTTCAGCCACTGAAATATACAGGTATACTGTGAGTAAAGTCCAATGAGGAGCATGCCACCTTGTGGTCTTATCGCTTTAACCTCCCTGGCGGTATGATTATTTCAGACTTTTGGTGCTGAAAGCGGTACCATTATTTTGCATGGAAATTTGCCTGTAATTCTTAGGAATAACTCACTGAAATCTATCCGAACAAGAGTCTAGTAAACATCCTGGGTAGGATAAAACTTGAAACACAAAATCATAAATTATAATTTAATAATCATAAAAAATAATAATAAATTTAATTCAATAATATAATCAAACCAAAAACACTGAAATTTGAAATATAGCGCCGAGTTCGCACATCACTGAGCAAAGTCGCAAAATCGTTTTCAGTGTCTGATGACGAATTTCTCCACAAATCATTATCACTCAATTCTGCAAGTGGTTCTAATTTACTATCGCTGCTCTCTAGCTGGTCTAAAACCGATTTTGACCTAAAGAGATGCTTTTTGGGCACCATGGACATTTCTCAGTTTTCAGGTAGAAAGAACAGACAAAATGCAGGCAGGGCACAGGACAAAGCACTAGGGGCAATATGTATGTGAAATGGGTTGAAACAACAATGTTTTACTATGAAAAATTTGTTTTGTAAAAAATGACATTTTTTTAAATTTTCAAATTTCCCGCCGCGGGCAGCGCCCGTACGTCCCAACGTCACAGGGGCCGGAACACAGAAGCCGGATGCCGGCATCTACCGGAGGAGATGGCCGGGGACGCTGCAGGAGACACATCTCGGGAGCGTAGGACAAGGTAAGCGACCGAGGGATCGCGGAGCAGCGCCACATGGTAAGCCCAAGTGTAGCTCGGGGTTACCGCTTGTGGTAGTGAAACGTTACCCCGAGCTACACTCGGGAATACCGCCAGGGAGGTTAAATTATATCTGACAGTTTCATGGAGTCCCGGGGCCTTAACTATTGTTGTAGTTTTGGTGCTCAGATGCTGGACCCTGTGGTCTCAACTACTTCAGCTTTTAAAGGAGTATGCAGCTGCTGTGCCCACCCCTCCTCTCCTCCTGCCCAATCACAGAGTGATTTGCATTGTGTGAACTCATTTACAAAATACAAAGGCTCTTGTGGACGGGCAAGCAGAGGGGAAGGGCAGGCAGAGATGCTGATGAGTGTGAGGAGACAGCATCTCTCCTGGCAGAGCTTTGGTAGTGTACACAGCTATCTATCCAGAGATCCAGAAAACTGTCCAGTGGGTGAAATGCACTTCTTTAGACTTAACTTAACTCATAGCATTCCTGCACATTTTACCATCTGGAAGGATTCCTTAGAGTTTAGAACTTACAAATCCACTGCCATACAAGAACAAATATACACAAACCTCAATGGGCTTAAAGCAATAAAAGTATACGACTAGACCAATTGTTGAGCAATTTAAGTTGGCCATACAGAGAAGATGGCCATAAGGAGGCTGATTTTCGAAAGGATTTGCAAATGTTTACACAAAATGTGTTCATTTCAATTATTTAATCATGTGAAAGGAAAAGCCTGAACATGACTGGATCACTGATTTGGTGTGAACATTATCAAATTCCTTTAGGTTGCATTTACACTTGAGCTGCGCATCTTTAGTCTTGTTTTTTCTTAAACAGTAATTCCACTTTTCTTGAGAAGAAAACAAACAAACAACATTCCCCTTTGGGTGATCTATATTCATTGCAGTAAACTCCCCAGCATGTTATCCTATGTGTCCATGCGCACACAGACTGTAATCAGCGTTTTTTGGCTGGAAAAAAACCCCCAGGACTAGTGGGTTTCTAGAGGAGTTTGTTTAGAAGTAAAAAAAAAACACTCTAATGCTGAAAAACATGGTAAAACCCAGCAGAACGGCGTTTTTTGGACTTTTTTTAGGCAAAAAAAAAAAAGCAAATGTG